GTGGATTATTTACGGCGTAACGGTGTTCCGGGGCTGTTGTGTTGGTTGTCAGGTAGGCGGATCGGAGGTCTGAGGCAATTTGCATTTATTTGCGGGTTCCTGACTACGCCCCCTTTTCATGGCGAGCCATGAGACCAGATACGTATCTCTCGTACCGCTGTTTCACACTTACGTCAGCCGGGACCGTGTGTTTTTTGCCCTCGATATTATATCGGGATCGGTTACATGCTTTCTTTTTTTCGTACGATACGATAATCGAAGATGGGTGTGCGTATCGAGGTGAATTGGAGCGGTGGTTTAGAGAGGTTAGAGGGTTTTTTCGGTGACAATTGTAGGGGTTCTTGTAGCGAGAGTTTCAGCTTGACAATTGAAACTTTTTTAATACTAGTGCTAATATCAAGGTGAGTATGGTTGAGAAATTAATGCTAACTTGACAGTTTCGCTGTTACAGTCTACTGTCTAGGCAGGCATTTTGTTTGTTTTATCAACCCTTCGACTGCTACAGGTGCTTATAGACGCTCAGTGATAATCGAACTCTGTACCATCTTCATATTCGTATTTATGTATTTATAAATGTTCAGCGAAAAAAGTGATTTGGATAACGTAACATATAGCAGGACTTTACTTTCGAGTTACCAGCAGTCAAAGGGTTAAGACGAGTATTGTTAAGAATTTAATGCTAGCTTAACCCCTTCGCTGTTACAGTCCATACAGGCATTCCATCTATTATATTAATATGAGTATGAAACATAGAGTAGCAAAGTTAAGAAGATGTAGTTATCGAACGTTTCTCAAAAAACAAGATATCTTTGAACTAAAAGTAGAAGCTTTCCAAGCACGATTGAATGAAAACTACCCTAACCAAAGAATTCTCGATCCCACTCCCAAAGAAACCCCTAAAAACGATCTAAGATCGTTACCAAACGATCCCCCTCTCCACCTCAACCACTCTGATCACCTTGCGAAGAACGCAAAGGCGTTGACAAGCAGACGCCTCGAGTCACCACGGACAGCCCGAAAACAAACACTCGAACGGGTCCTCGCTGCACTCTGCATGGCATCCCCGTAAATCAATTACGTCTTCATCCATCCCCCAGGTTCAATTCTCCTCTCTTCACGCTCGACCATCACGGCGATATTGTGACGATACCGTGACGATCTCGTCGCGACCTTGACAGCCAGCCTCAACCAATCTCTCTCCGGTGCGGTAATCCTCGAACGAGCTACCAACTGGCCGTGTATACACGAAGTTGAACTTGAAGGGCTGCTAGAAACTTTCTTCATCTCTCTCTCTCTCTCTCATCCCTTAGCAGAGAGGAAGATGCGTCCGCGATGAGTAGCATGAAGACATTAGGGAGTTTGTTTTGTCCTCGCCGCGGGACACCGTCGACCCAGCAGCGTCCGTTAAAAGTAACGCCGTATTACTTTGGCCAGAGGACGCCGCTACGGGTGGTCCTTTTGCCAAGTTTCCTTCCGCTTTTCCACCCCCTCCCGCGTCTCAATAAGCCGCTTCGCTACGTTAGCCTTCTGTTTGGCCATTCTCGCGCCGTGGAACGCACGGCGCGGCACAAACACCGGCGATAATAAACATTGATGGGACATCAGCGGCCAACGAGGACTCCCACTTCCATTGGAACAATGAACGGCTCCTTTTTTCCCTACCGGGCTTTTCCTTAGGCGTCGCGACGGACGTTTTTCCGTTGGAACGAATCGACGTGGATAATCGAAGGCGAGCTTGCCACCATCATCTCGGATAAAGAGGGTAAACCGGGGGGTAGGCGAGGGTTTGCTGGTTCTGGGCCTGTGTTTGGGGGAGCGTGAGGATGAGTTTGGCTTTTAACGTTGTTTTATACTGTTCTGAGATCTGGATATTTTTATTTCACATGCAGTACCGGCCACTCTAAGTTTTTGTACCATAACTTGGGCTAATGTTGGTAAAAATGAAATTTGAAAAAAGTAATTTGTAGTACAAATGGGTTTCCTTAAATTTTCTCATAAAGACAAATAATTGGTGGAAATGAAAAAGTTGTAATTTGCAGCGAACGAGAAATTGTCGTACAGTACCGGCCAGCTACTTAGTTGGTAGATTTGAAGGTCTAAGTGATAAATAATGTTAGTAAAAATTATTTAGGCACGTTTCGTATACATATTTTCTCGATCCGTACACTCCACGTGAGCTCAACCGTTGCAGCTATGGAAAATAACTTTTGTCGCACGGAACACCAGCGTAAACGTTGAACGTCTTAGAAAAAAGAACATCGCCGGAATACGTTGCTCAGGGCTATGGTATTCATTTGTTTGTCCATCAAGTATAAGCGAGATCTAGCTTTGGCCGGTACTGCACGACTCTTCCCTATTTGGGTAATTTTTGTTTGTTTAATAACGAATAGTTAAGTCCACTGAAAATTGCAACGAAGGTGAAGCAGATATTTTTCATTGTTTGAGGCTGTTTCAAAGCTGCCGAAAGTTTGGAATCACCTGCCAATTTATATTAATATTTGAAATTGATGTTGTGGAGATCAATAGCACTTTACCTCATTTCGATTGAGTTGAACGATAAAAAATTCGTTGGAAAATTAACTATAAATGCTAACCTTTTTGGGGAATTTTTGTGCAATGCACAGTGATTCCAAATATTTGGCCGGTAGTGTATTTAGGTAATTTTTGTTTGGTTGTTTGTTTAATAACGAACAGTTAAATCCACTGAAAATTGCTAAAGATACGAAGCAGGTATGTTTCATAGTTTGAGACTGTTGGAAGATCTAAATATTTTACTCTTATATATTTAGCTGTTTGTTTGTCTATTTACTAAATAACGAACGGTTAAGTCCACTAAAAATTGCAGAGTGTATTTTTATTTCGATAACGAAAGGAACGAGAGCTACGGTGTTAATGACATTTTTTTATTAGAATCATCTAGCGAATACGTGATAGAAGTTTGTTGAATTCTCTATTTTAATTTACGCAGAAATTTCAGAATTTTTCTTCTCCTCGTTTCATTTCTGCTGACAAAGAGAGGAAGAAGGTAAAGAAATTGTCTCTCTGATTCAATTAGCCTTTTTGCAACGAACATCGAGTGTCATGTCCTGTTTGGAACGGAGCAGCGTCATTTCCTCGGTATTGAAAAAAATGCTCGGCCTAAAAAGCGAAAGTTGGAAGTCGATGATCTGTGATCATGCGTTAATAGGCGACACCCATGGTTAGAGAACGGCTTAAAGCGAATCGCGTTATTTGCTCTCGTCGCTTGCTCAACACGTTGCCGGTCGAATGCGTTGCTCAACTCTCGCGACGAACTCGCCAAATTTTCTTTTCTCTCCTTCGTCCGTAGAAATCATACGAATCTCCGTTACAGCTTACTTGAAATCTTTTCCTTAGAAAAGAAACCACCCTTAGACCTCGAATCATCGTTTGCAAGCGTTTCAATGGAGCTATAAAAATATAGCGATGAGAAATGGAAGTGTTTCCCACGGAAAATCATTCCTAGATCTCCTATCATGATCTGCGAGCGCTTCAACTCGAATACAGCCGTCATTTGTTCGAAGAAAATTTTGCAGAAACTTTTTCAATATCGCTTCGATAGTAGCATAATTGAAAAAATGTCAGTTTTCATTTTTTTGCACATGTGGACTCCATGGTTGCTCTATTTTCATAATACAAAAGAGCTTATTAGTTTCACACCTGTGATCAGCTACTACTCAAACACAAATTTTTACCTGCCTTTCCTCTAAAATTTACTTTTTTACTTACACCGCTACCAAACAGTAATATTAACTTCTTCTTATCTAACCCACTATCAAAACTATGTACAACTACCAAAAAACAAAAACCATCAGGAGAATTTCTACCTGCGTTTCCTCCAAAATTTAGTTTCTTAATTACACCACCGCCAAGTAACGAGATTTACTTCTCCTTATCTATCAGGAGAATGATGCTTCACACCTATGGTCAACTACTTTTACCTGCGTTTGCCCGAAAATTAATTTTCTTAGTTACACCACTACCAAGTAGCAATAATGTACTTAATTAACTCGCTATCTAACCCACTATCGAAACCACGTACAAATACCCTCGAAAAAAATGGAACGATCAGGCCCCACCCCACGAATCATCCCCCGAATCGAAACCAGCCTGAAACTCACCCTCGACGTTCGACCTAGCAACACCCCTATCTCTACAACAACGTATCTATCCCCACCAATAAACTAACACGGTATGAAAAAGGAGCAGGTCCCGAAGACAGCATGGTCTCCACACGAAGCCTCCCCCGCTTGCCTCCACTCGTCGTCCACTGGGCGTGCCGCGAGAGGCGCGACCAGGGACGTGTTTGCGTTGCATCGATTGGTCGAGGGGTACACGAAGGAACAGGTATACGAAAGCGGGTTTGGAGCACGTTGTCCTCGGTGTAAACCAGCTGGTAAGCTTCCTACCTCTCTTCCCCACCATTTAGCTGGCTGAAGAAGGCCAGTATGGGAGTGGCTAAGCGTTAGTTACCCCGAGTGGCGAGTGGTCGTGGAGGCTAGTCAGGATCAGGAAGCCGATCTGTCGAGGTCCAGGTCTCAGTCGTTCGAAGGACTTGGAAAAGGAGACAGGTGTCTGGCCGC